GATGTTTCCAGAAAAAGTAAACGCCTGGAGAAAAGTCAAACTCAAGAACATAAACTTGGTGGAGGATTGGGAAACAATGGGCTGCAGGGGATGAGACCCTGGCCACCACCTTCTCCCAGTTTGTCCAACTAAAGCTCCACAAGTGCAGGTAACAGAAGCCCACTGAAACTGAGGCACAAACTGTTAGATTAGGAAAAAAGCAAGGACTCATTGCAGGCAAGTGAGGGGAATACATGGAGCTTTCATTTAATGCAATGTGCATAGCCATACAAAACGGGGATTAGTCTTTCACAAAAAAAGAACAACCTTTTCAAGTGTACAGATAAAGAGACTCTCGGGAATGGACAGAGGCTGACTCAGAAAACTATTAAAAGGACAAAGTGACTTTCAAATAGAGGTCATTAGTTCAAACATGCACTAGATCAGTAGTGGCCAAGACTAAAGCATCTTAAGACTGATTAGTGGTGTAAACAAAAATGTGTCGTTAATCCTTCTTGAGCTCCTGCTACCCAAGAGCCCATATTCCAAGTTTACTGCAGAATTTACTGTCTGTCCAGCCCCAGAGGAACAGAGAGGGCTTAGTGGGCACCCAGACACCGAGTGCCTGTCCCCACAGTCACTGCAGCAATGTGGCAGCTGCACTGCTCCATTGGTTTGAAAGGGGCAAGTCATTTTTTCTGGTTATGCCCCTCTACCTGAGTGTGCTCACCAGTTTGTTGCTGGATACACATCACCAGACACTGCACTTAACAGCACCCACTCAGCACATCAAGATCATACTGCAGGTTTTGGGTGTTATTTTGTCAGAGAATTTTTCTGTGAAATTACTTTGCTGACTAATTAATGTCATACAACCTATGTGTTCATGAGAAATGGAGAGGTCAAACATCATTTACCCCTTTCTCCCAATACTGACCAGAAGAGGCTCCAATTATCCCCAGAGATCTCACAGGCTCAGACATGTCCATTAGGAGAGGCCTTACTGCAGAACATCCTTCCAGAAGACACCCAAAGAGGGCAGACAAGATTCCAAAGCACACATTTCACTAATGAAAAGCAGTAAATGCACAATGTTTAGAACTCAGGAGGAACATCCAGTAATGCAGCTGCTTTAACTTCAGTCATCGAGCACAACTTAGGTGTTTGCCCTCTGTCTCCACAGGGAACTGCAGCTCTGATACCACACCAGGCTGTAAACCAGAGCCATCCAGTGAAGCATTATCCTTCTCACCATTATTGGGCACAAGATCACAGGCTGCAGATGTATTTACTGTGGAGTTTGGGTCAACCACTTTCCATTTACTATTAATTAAGCAAACACACACAGCAGCTTCAATAGTACAGTCAAGATTACACACGTCAATGCATACTTTTAAATAAAAATATTAGCTTTTACTCAATTATGATGTAACATATTAGTTATGTACTATTACTGAACTAGGGTTGTGCAAATAACATTAATTCCTGTGTGTATTTATTGGAAGTAAGGACATGCTGGAGGCAAAGATAAAGAATACTTGATTTCCTTTTATAAGAAAATTTTATTAATATTTGTTCCAAACAAGATCCTCCAGCTGCTGAAGTTGAACACTACCCAAAATGCATTTTCCCTAGGGTCCTCCATTATCAGCAAGGGCCTTTCCTGCAAGTCCATGTACACTTTCAACAGACTGTCTTTGCTATCTGATTTGAGAGCCTTGGGTGTTCTGCATTCAAGGAATGCAATCAAATCCTGCCCCTTCCAGGCCTTCTGGAACACCTATTAATTCACCCCTCTGGAGAGAGGGACTTTATCATCTCTTGCAATTGCTAGAATCTAAAAAAGTGGAACAGGGCAACTTAATTTGGCACTGCAATTATTTAAAGTCTATAAATAGTTGTTGCCATAGTGTTAATTAAATGGCTATATGGTAACATCCTTTCTTTTCTACCTTTTAAAGGTAAACTCTGATTAAATCAGGTAAGATGGGACCATGCCATACAAGAGTCCATGGAAAGGAGCACAAATGCTTAGAAACTGTGTTGTATACTTCACACAGAGATGAGCTGGAAATCCAAAGCAGCTTGTTATGTTCTGTTTCCTTTGTACAAAAGAGGAGGGACTCATTTCCAAATTGCTTCGTTTGTCACCCAAACTCAAAATTTTGAACAATCACCATAAAATTCAACAGACCAGCCACAGTAATTGAATGGATCTGAACTGCATAGGGAAAAGATATCTCTAAGTTTTTTTGCAACATCTTTGTACATTTTAGAAATATAGTGAACAATGGTGACAATCACCTCTACACAGAATGATCGGATCTGGCAGGTTACTGAAACAGGGGAATGGAGAAGGTCAGATCAGAGAGGAAAGAAACACTAATCCCAAAATATTCCATGGCAGAAAAGAAGTCAATTTTAACACAAATATCAGCACAAGCTCCATCTCAGTAATTACACCACTCACACGAGCATTTGCTCAGAAGTGGAGCAATTGCTACTACTTCCCAGTGAGAGAAAACCATCTATTTTTTTTTGGCAAAAGTATCATATTAATTTCTTTTAAAATGGTTGACTCTAACAGGCAATAACCCTACCTTACAAAATCTTATTATTTAATGGAAAGCTGAAATGACAGGAAAGGGACTGCAGCAAGTCTTGGCTACAAGTCTAAGTGAGAGATTAAATAACGCTCAGAACAGTGGCCAGAGGGCAAACTCTTGGATCCTCACCTTTTGTCAACTGTTTCCCCTCACATTTGGGAGAGCAGAAAGCTGTTCTGGTCTCTCTTCATCTCCCGTACTTGCTTCCAGCTGCAGTGAAGTCTTTAGGCTTTGTACAATTACTGTTCTTCATGGTAGGTTGTAACAAACAGCAAAACTACCTGACAGAACCAGATAGCTGAAAACACCATTCTCCACCACAAGTGTGGTCATGCCACCACCCAAAACCAGAGACATGCATAAACCAAAACAAGCTTAACCCTCTCTGTTTTGTCCCTCTGTCTTCTTTCCAGCATCTCCTACTTCAGAGGTTCATTTCAGCATGTGAAGGTTAACAAATACAAAACGAGGAAACTCAAGACTTGTCTATTTATCTTTTTTTTTTTTTTTAAATCCCAACCACATTAGTACTTTTGGATAGACAAATTATATTATAAATGCAGGATTTCAACGTTCTGGCACCAAGCCAACATTTTAATGGACATTCAAACACTAACTAAGGAAATGGTTGTGCATTAAGCCTACCAATAAGTCAACAATCAATACTTCAGTACTGCAGTAAAAATACAATGCACCCTTTATAACTGCATCTGCTCTCATCCTTCTTTGTCAAGCTCAGCTCTAAATAAAAGAAAAAATAAGAGATTCTTGAAACAAGAAATGAAGCACATACTATTTCACAGCCAACAAGTATTTATCCTGAAGTCTAAACCTAATTGGTCCTCTGAACTGTACAGATTTTTGGTTTTCAGCTGTGTACTGACAGAGAGTAGAGTCAGGAATAAAAAGGACAGAAGTTCAGACACAAAATTAATCAAGCAGGTCAATAGGTAAGAGCAGCAAAGTAAAGAAACCTCAGACATCTAAGCCCCAAGCAACTGCAGATTAGGAGCTGGTTCCAACTTTATCTCCAAAAAGCATCTCAGTCAAAAGCAAACAAAAAAGAATCCCATCAAAGCATGCTAACATTTGGATTTTAATCCAATTCATAGATTTGAATTGCCTGCACAACATCAGTCCTGCATGATCCCTCTCAACAGATCCTATCAGTTTGATCAAATGAAGCCAAAGGCAAGCTCTGCAGAGTATGGGATCTGGACACCCTCTGGAAGGCATGGGCATCAGGCAGTATTGCTCTGCCACAGAACAAATGTTTTAAATTTAGTTAACACTGGCTTCCCATTCAAAGCCATGGCCATAATGCTGAGCCACCACTATATTTCTTAACAGTGCAAAAAATCCCACAGCATTTGGATACTTGGAGCAGCTCCCTGTGTCTGCAGAAAGCTTCAGGGTGAGTCTGTTTTTCAGGAAGAAATGGTGGCAGACATTCATCCAACCCTGTGAAACTTGAACGTAAAAACAGGAGGACAAAACCAATCAAATTGATAATTTTTATCTCCACAGCCTAGTAAGCTCAGTACTGAAATGGAACTTCATCATGGAACAGCTAAGCCAGTGTAATAGCTTGGGTAAACAAGCCAACCAAATTCTCCATTTTCTTCTCCAAGTCTGCAAATACACAGAGGGAAACAGAGAATGATTGTTTCAGAAATCCCTCCACAGATCTCTCACATTTATTTGCTAAAACTATCTTGCATCCCTGGGGTTTCAGCTATAAACAAGCACAGAGCTCGGCTGGGAATCTGGAAAGACTTTTTGCTGATATTTTGAAGTCAGGGCATCTGCATCTTGAGGCTGAGCTCTGCAAGAGCAGCCAATGCTGCAGGTCTGGCAGCCAAGGGGCAGGAATACCCAAGTCCTCACAGACCCCAAGAGCAGTTTGCTGGTGCAAGATCCAATTCAGGAGCTGGGTAGGTGCCCAGCAATAGGCCAGGCCAGACTTCTCATCACTAGGTTTTGCTGCTTCATCTCACTCTCTCTACATCAGGCACATCGTAAATAATCCATCTCAAGTGACAGTCACCACGCTACAAAATAGTGCTGCATAAAATTATTATATTGGGCAGTGGCAGCAGCTGTATTGACCCAAGTTTTAGCCTATGACTCTAATCAGCTGCCAGCTTAAAGGGGTTTTGTGTGGCCACAACCCAGGGCAGCAACTAATTGTAGTCTCAGCACAATTTCAGCTCAGGGAAGTTGAAGATCTCCAGTCCAGACTGGAGGTGTCTTCAGGATTAAGGGGAGGTTTCAGCAGAGCTGCCAGTGGACAGGTGTTTGTAGCACAGCTTCAGTTCCTTGTTTCAGGTGGGGAAAGGAGTCCATGGAGCACAGGGGCAGCCAAGGACTGTGCTGCCCAGCACTGCCAAACCAGGAAACTACTGATGCAGACAAACAACCTTATTTTTTACAAGGTCTGGTATCTGAGGGAGGGAAGTTGGAGGTCAGTTAAACGCTGTCAAATACTGATCAGGGCTGTGAACAAGAGAGGTCTGAGAAAATGGTAAATGCAACTCTTATTTCTCAGCTGAGGAAAATGATGCATAGGAAAGCATTTCTTGAACTCAAAGTCAAGCATGAAAATCATGACAAAAATTGGATCAAAATCCAGCTTTCCCAATTTCCTGCAATGAAAAGCAGCTGCCACAGAAGGCCGTTTTCTAAGTAAATATACACATCAGGGGGTGCCAGTCAGGCAAGGATCCAAAAATTCAAGGGTCAGGTGCTATTCAATATTTGAATCAGTGCAATAAAATGCTGCATAAATATTTAAACTGGCATTCCTGCTCCAAAATATTCTTGGAACGTATTTCAGATGCTTGCTTTCAAAGTTGGTAACAGACATTCCCTTCTTCCTTCTGTCCTGCAGAATCTCTGAAATAAAAAAAAACATTCCCTGTTCATCCCCAGCACCTCTGACAGCAGTTTGGTGGTTTGATTTCAATGTGCTGCTTTCAGTCAGTCAGTACAAATGGATGAATCTCAAGTGCTGAAATCCTATATCCTTGGTTCTTTGTGAGCTCTTGTTCTAAATCCGCCCTCCATTCCCCTGAAAAACCCAAATAAAAAACCGAAACCCAAAACTCCAGAACACTCTCCATTTTTACACCTCACTTAGAGCCTCTGGCTTCAAAAGCTAAATGCTTGGGTTCCATTTTAGTTGTTCTCACAAAGTGTGCTATAAACCAATGTAAGATACAATTTGTCATCAGACACATTTGTTTAGATCTGAATATAGATCTCAAGAAGTCAAAGTCAAGTAACAAATGCATTTTGATATTCCATGTGCAACTGAACCTCTTAATTGTTTTAGCTTGACACAGAAAAAATATCATGCCAGTCATTAATATAAGTTATGATTATGAGCTTGTAGGGCAACATTTCCCTGTTGTTGGTCACTGCCTGTGCTGCCCTGCCCAGCCCCTGCTTTCAAACCACGAGACAGTCAAAGAGCTGGAAGCTGTTGTAACTGGAGGCAGAAGCAATGCAGATGTGCACTGCCAATAACCCACCTGGCTGCACACTCTAACAATTCAATACAATGAATTGCAGCTCTGCTGGAGATTCCAGTCCTGAGATCTCCACAGTTACACTCAATACTGATTTGCATGAACCTGCTCCTATTTCAGCCTTCATTTCCCTGTGCTTCTATATCCTAGGCCTGTCAGTGCACCTATGCTCCAAAACAGCTGAAGCTTATCTTGAAAAGAAAGCTAAAAACTCTTTTAGAAGATATTTCAACAACACATTCTAAGAATCACTAAGGCTTTTTTGTTATAAACACAACTACTGACCACAGAAATTTGACATGGTAGCAATAGCTTGTTCAGCAGATCCTTCTAGTAGCACCTGTGCATGTTCTTCAGAGATTAATGGGAAAAAAATTCCAGATCTAAATCATACACAAAAAATAAGGAACAACAGACAGCTCTTCCTGTTTTATTTTTGCTGGGCTATCAGAAGTAACAATTAACTAAATATTTGATATTAATGCAAAGGGAAGCTCTGATGAGCCCACAGGTAAGATTACTCTGATGGAATGGATGACTGTGCATCAAAAGGCACTGAATTCATACAAACACTTCAAAAGGTAGCACTGCACTTCAATCATTTACACTCGTGATGGCCCTGGAAAAGAAGAGCCCAAAGGAATCGCTGCCAGACTGTCAGTCTGAGTAAACAAGATTTAGTCTGTGAAGCAACGCCCATCAGTGGAAGTCACATTCATTAACACACTGCACTGATTTCACAAACGGTACTAGAAAGGCCAGCACTTCAGCCTTTCAAACCTGGCACTTCTCAGGGCCATCAACCTCACCCTGAGCAGCACCACTGTGTGAGCACGTGGAGGCCTCTCTGCCGGAGGAAGAGGTTCCCACTCATGGTGCTGACAAGGTGTCACTCCTGATTTGCTCTGGAAGCTGGAAGTTCATTTTTTAAGATAATTAGTCGATACTACACAGCAAGGCCAATGATCCAGTGCAGTAACTGTAGCAAAGGGTTGTTTCAAGAGGTAAAACATTTGAGTGAAATAAATCGATAAGCTCAGGAGTTATGTTTAAATGCTGAGGTCCTACCTACCTACACTGCCTCCACAAATTCACTATTGAACAGAACTCCTCAGCTTCTCAAGGAAGTGCATTAACAACACTTTCAGCTTACAAAACCAAATTGCAGCGCTTGCTGAAATATAAATTGTGAAAGAAACAAAAAGCCCTTTTCTTCAGTCCCACGTGACAGCAATTCAATTTCATTGTCTGCTGCATGCATTCTCCATAAGGCACAGAGGTACAGGATACCGGGCATGACAGTTTTCAATATATCACTCTGGAACTTCAGCTGGGAAAAGGATGAAATCAGCAAACCATTGCCACTGACACCAGAAAGAGCCTCACTAATGCAAAGGCACAGCCTGCCCAGCTCTCTCTGCTCTGCAGAGACATGGACAACCAGACTGTAACTCCTGCCCCAGATGCTCTGCTGCTTTAACCTGATTAAGGTCAATTAATCACCATATAAGAGAGTGCAGGAAACCCCATTCCATTATAAGTGGTGGCCATCCTTCTCCTCCTTCAGCATCTGACTCTTTCCAGTTTCAAAGTTTCCATGTCGAGGTTCATGTAAAGCATCAGAAAAATCCTCATTTTTTTGCTGGATGGCCATAACTATCAAGCACATGTGCCACAAGACAAACACTGCATTTGCAAATCCAGCACCAGGGTGTGTTCCTTCCTATAGATGACACCAGCCAGGCATGCTGAAGGCAAAAGGATCCACCTCCGAGGGCTGCATAAAATCCACGGATATAGAAACTCCCTGGGAAGATGAACCCTCCCTGGATCCTCTGGGGCACTTCCCACATGCAACATGTTCTGCTGAGCTGTCTCTGCAACGACTCGAGCCTTTGAATTGCGCTTCCCACCTTCCTCTCTGAATATGTGGTTTCAAGCAACGTTTGTTGCCAGGATGCATTGCTAATACATAATATATTGGCTGAAAATTAGTATTTCATCTCAGAGAGAAAATGTTACAGGCACTTCTTCAGCGGCAATGCACGCAGAAGAGTTTGAGCAAGAGATTTTGTAAGACAGATACAGCAAACCTGTAACCAAGAGAAGACAGACCTATTGAGACAAACAACTAAATCCTGCCCTTTAAGAAACACTGCAGATTCAACCCCCTGCAGGAAGGAGATCTGTTCTGCTATTCTGCTGCAAAAGAATGCTATTTCTTAAAGCCAGCAAATACAGTAACCCAGAAGAAAGAAGGAAAGAAGTTAACAAGTTAACAATTCTGCTACAGTGACTAACAGGGATATAACTGAGTGACAAGTTACCCATGGCCTCTTAGCCAAAGATTTTACACTACGAGCTGATGGGAATCATTCCCTGCTCAGCTCCCCCCTGCTCCAGCAACGAGCCAGAGGATGTGTCCACCTTCAGGGCTTATTTCCATAATTCACTAAGTCAAAAGCTCATGAAAAAACAGACATCAAGTTTTTTCTCAGAAGAGGGGGGGAAAAAAAGAAAAAAATCAAGAGGACATTAGCAAAGGTAGAGAAAGCATCTAAGGGTATGAAACCACAGACAAACAACAAAACATTTAGCATAACATTAACTAATGACACACAGCACTATTATGCACTTCATCCTACCAGCAAATAAGAAGCCAAAACATTAACCTCAAGTCAAACAGCAAAACAAAATTAAGAAGTGATGTTGATACAGTGTATCTGTTCAGTAATCAAGCTTCTTACCACTAGCAATGAGCTGCAAATTTTCTAAACAAGCCATTTTTTACCTTGGAAAAATTAAATCAAGACAGATGGGTACTAAAAGAAATACTGCAGGGTTAGCTCTATAAAAAACCTGAATCAAACCAAAGTACAAGGTCCAAATGTGTAATTCCACAGTGGGACAGATCTTTGAGTCCAGCTTTCAGGAGGAGCTAAAGATGGTCACAGTTTCTTTTAGTCAAGAGAATGGTGAGTCTTTTGACTACTGCATTAGTGCTTATTTCAGAGTCATTAAAGCCTTCAGGTTTTTGTATCTACTTAACAGACAAAGTAAAAGGATTTAAACCCGCATTTTTTGCTACAAGCCTTGGGGCAGGAGAGGAAAGAAATAATGAATGTTTCAGAGTTACTATATGGTAACCATAGCAGGCAAAATCAATTACTGCTCCAAGGATCTGGAGATAACATGCGAGTTCCCACTCATATGTTTGAAATGTGGTTTGGTTCCCCCCCCCCTCCATTTCCTCCCCCACTTGTCTTCAGAAATGTCTTTTCTCATACATTAGAATCTGGCCCAAAGAATCCTACTGGCTTGCAAACACATTTAGAGATAAGGATTTGTCATGATACTGTATGGTATCCCCACCTGTGCACTCCCACTTATCCAAGATTAAAATCAAATCCTTCACAGATTACTCCTCCTGCCTTTCACACCGGGTTTGGCTACACTGAACATCGTTATCAGGAAAACCAAACAACAATGGGGTGTTATCAAGAACACCATGTGAGCTGGACAGCCACCCTCAGAAGGGAAACTGCAGGGCAGACCTGGGGAATCAGCAAAAGCAAGAGGTGGGAACACTTTGGGGATGAATAACGTTAATAAAAGGAATCAAGAGCTGGTACTTTAAAAGTCTGTGAAATAAGTGTTCCAGAATGGGCAGATCCAGAAATCCAGTTCATACAGATCTGAACAAAAAGGAAACCATGTCTGGTTAAATGATGCCAAGCTCAAAACCAATAAAAGGAAATAAATTTTAACATAATCTGTAATTGGATTGTGGAACTTACTACCACAGGAAGATGACAAGGCCAAAAACATAATGGGATTAAAAACTGACTCAGTCTGTATATGGATATTGACAGTATCTAGAGCTGAGCTTAACACTAAAATTGAGGAAAGAATTATTATTCCTCATGCTTCAGGGAGAGCCAGTCTCTAACCACCAGGGAACAAGGTGATGCCTAATAAAGCAAGCAGATATCCCCATGAACATCTCTGTCAGTTCTCCTCTGAGTTATCTGGTGCTGACAATAAGCACGTGAAGGCAACCAAACAGATCGGTCCCAAATGTGGTCTAAGAAATCAACTATGACAGATTTAGTTTCAGCTAATCCTGTATCAAGTCTAGGATAGCCAACTGAAGCATTCAAAAGGGTTTAATAAAGCTGCTGAAACTGAAATTAAGCACTGAGGTGTTTCCTGCTGTCTTTCCTCATCCACCAGCCTTTGCACAGCACTCGTGTAACACTGGCAAGCCTTCCCTTTGCTCGCTCAAAAATACCACAAGTTAGAAAACCTCTCTTCCCTTTTCCGCCTCTACCCCACAGTAAACACAGGAGATAACACAGAACCCAG